ATTTAGTTTTCAGAAGTTTAATTATAATGTGTCTTGAAGTGGATTTCTTTGAGTTTATCCAATTTGAGGGTCGCGTAGCTTGTTCAATCCATGGGTTTATATCCATCATCAAATTTGAGACATTTTCAGCCATTATTTCTTCAAATGTTTTTTCAACCCTACTCTTTCTCCTCTCCTGGGATTTCATTCTATTTTCTCTCTCTATTCAGATTGAGTAAATTCTATTGAACTATCCTCACATTTACAATTCTATCCTCTGTCATCTCTGCTCAACTTTTGAGCCCACCCAGCAAGTTTTCTATATTTGTTGTATTTTTCAATTCTATGATTTCCATTTTATTTTATTTTTGAGGAAGATTAGCCCTGAGCTAACATCCACTGCCAATACTCCTTATTTTGCCGAGTAAGATTGGCCCTGAACTAACATCCATGCCCATCTTCCTCTACTTTATGTGTGGGACGTCTGCCACAGCATGGCTTCATAAGAGGTGCATAGGTCCATGCCTGGGATCCAAACCAGTGAACCCCGGGCTGCTGAAGCAGAGCGCATGAACTTGACGACTATACCACTGGGCTGACCCTTCCATTTGGTTATTTTTCTATCTTCTATTGCTTTACTAAGATTTTCTAATGTTTTGTTCTTTTCAAAAGAATTTGTAATTGCTTGTTGAAATATTTTATGATGTCTTCTTTAAAATTCTTGACAGATAATTCCAGTATTTGATTCATTTTAGTATTGGCATCAATTAATTGACTTTTTAAATTCAAGATGTGATTTTCCAGGTTCTTATTATGATGGTTGGTATTGTATTATATCCTGGACAGCTTGGTTATTATGTTAGAAGACACTAGATCCTATTTAAATTTTTTATTTTAATAGCAATTACTCTAGGTTTGGCATGCAAGTCCTGGCCTGCTTTTGTAGGCTGCAGCTGCAATGATAGTATAATTTTCAGAGCTTATAGGTGCTGTTTTCATCTGCTTGTTTTATTTCATGCCTCTGGAGCCCCCACCTGTCCTTGTTAATGCTGCTTGAGGTGGCAGAACAAGCTTCCTGAGGCTAGGTGTAATGCAAAGGAGGAGGGGTTTTTGCCTGTGTAAATAAAGTGTACTTCCTGGCTGGGCGTTTATTGTGGCAGGATCCCTCTTGCTGGTGACTCTAGCCATGCGATGCCTTGGATGGGGGTTTGTGAGAGGGAGAATCTCAGGACTATGAGGACATAGAAATTTTGGGGGCTGGGCACTTGTCTCCTACTTTTTTTGCTAGAGCTAATTCTTCAAAAGTGAATGTTACTCTGTGAGAACGAAAACCCTTCTGGTCACCAGGGACATATCATTCTCTTTCTGCTTTCATAAGTTATATCCTAGAGATCTGAAATTACATGTAAAAGTGACCTTTTTACTGAACTGAATTTAAGTACAAAGGCATGCAAGTAGTTATTTTATCTACATCAATAGCCACAACTTCTCTCTTTTCAACTGCCTGTTGTCAACATCTCATTAAGGATATTTTGCCATCACATTGATTCGTATTTAGAATTGTTATTTCCCTTCACGCCCCTGCCCATCATGCTTCCTGAGTGGTTAAGAGCATGTCCTCTGGAGCCAATCCAACTTGGGTTTGCACGCTGACTCTGTTGTTCGTTAGTTGTGTATTCTTAGCAAGTCTCTTTACCTCCCTAAATTTCATCTGAAAAATCAGGATAGTTATAGCTAGCATAAAGTAAAATTCAATAACCATATATAAATTTAGTACTCAGCATAGTACCTAGCCATACAAGTATTCAATTGATGTGTTGAGTCAGCTACAGGCATCATCCTCATCAACATCATTATCATTATCATCTCTGTTTTATAGATAAAGAAACTGAGGCTTTGAAAGGATAAGTAGTTGAACCTAGGTCAGTTTGCACACTTAAGTGTCACAAGAGCTGGAATTCAAATCCAGGCATGATTTCTTCCAAATCTTTCTTTTCTGACCATTATAACACTGCTACAAATGCTTATCTCATAAAACTTGAATATCCATGACAGCGTAGGTTAGTCCATATTTGGGATGTGCAAAAATATAAGAATAGGTAGTATGCAGTTATATGACCGGGATATACTTAATTTTCAATTAATTCTTAATTATAGCGGTAAATATTTTTGTAGAGATATCAATGCATAAAAATAGCAATAACACAGGTAATTTGACAGAACCCAACAACCAAGCTTTGTGATAAGATGATTTTTAACCCCTTTGCTGAGAGTCAAATATTCCCCTTTATTATGCTTAACCAGTTTCTGAAATCTGGTAGATTTAAAGACAGTTTATTTTTCATATGCCTTATGCTATTTCATTAAAACTTTCGTATAATTTATGATGCAATAAAAACTTAGCTGTTTTTCAATTTAATGCACTTTTCCACAAATCTGTTTTCTGTACATAAAAATATGTAGTTCCTTTAATAGTTTTACACTTTGCTTAATTAATAAATGCAGATTGTGATGAATTTCTGAATTTATAATTATAATGAAACAAAAATAATTCAAGAAGAATAATTTATGTTATTTTCCTATTAGAATAAAACTGAATTTATGACAGAGACACAAATGCTCAATTGAATTTGCACAATTATTAAATAAGGAAAAAATTCTCTGATGAAAAATATAAAAAAGGGACATTATTTACTCTGTATATTGGGGCTTCTCATTGATGAGTTGTTTTTATGTAGTGTAGGAGATAAACAATTATTTTTTCTCTCAGGCTGTCCTGATTCAGAAATTTCAAAAAACCAACTAATGGCCAAGAATAGATTTATGTTTTATATTTTTGAGATAGCAATATAACATTCAATTCAGCTTCTTTGAAGGTAAAAAAATGCTCTCGTTTATTACATCTAAAAAATAAATATAATATTATTTATGAATGTACACACATACTGATTCTGTATATAAAATAGAGAGATGGTGGCAAGGGCGAAAAAGAAAAAGGTCCATTTGTGATGGGAAATGTGGGAGCTGATATGTAGGAAGAAAAGAGAAAGGAAAAGGAAGAGCCAATGAGGAAAACCAGTGATGAGAGAGAAAGGGAGCAGGAGAGAAACAGACCAAATGAAGAGAGGATGTTGAAAACCAGTCAGTCCAAAGAACAAAAGAGGGAAGGGAGAAGGAAACAAGATGGAGAAGAAAAAGAAAATAATTAGAAAGAAATGTGAGGGGAGAGAGACCAGAAAGAAGTCTAAATCTAAGGGCATTAGAGCTTTGCTTTTACCCTAAATCTTAAGAAAAGAGTTAATCTAATTCTTAACTGTGAGGTTGTATATCTATGTATATATTTGTGTAATATGTTTGTGTATAATGTGTATGTTCCTTACTAATCTAACAGTGGGCAAGAATGTATCATTAGCAACACTCACCCCCCCCCCCCAAAATCATATCAAGCATATATAAAACAATCTGGAAATACTTTTCAAAACAATTATTTTCTTTGTATTCAAACCATAGCCTGCAGTCTTTTTAGAGCCTACTCTATTCTCTGGGCTGTATAGATTTGGGTCCCCCATACTGTGATATCTTTGAAAAGGGAAGCTTATTTTATCTTTTTATGCCTATCACCCAGAGCAGTACTAGAAAATTAAAACACTCCATAAATACTTAAATGAATAAATGAGAGTATTATGTATAAAAGGATGAAATACTGAACACTAGCAGAAACTTTACATAAGGTAGATTGAACATTTCATTTCACAAAAATTATAACATCAAGCAAGGATTCAATTTTATTTCCTTATATAGACTAAATCTTAGTGATTGGTGCAAGGGAACAAAGTAAGACATATTTTGCAGGCTTAAAAATTCAAGTCTCTGTAGTTTTACCCCGTATTTGTTCTATGCCTCTAGTCTAATCAACTGGCCTAACTGCTTCATGCTATGAAGAACAAGAGAAAATATATATATTTTTTATATATATGAGCACATTCCATGTAGTGTGGAATGTGGAAAGTGACGTAGATGAAACTGAAGCACAGTCTCCCTTGGTCAACTCTGGCTGTTCTCTCCAGGTAGCAACCAGCTTCCTCTCCAGGTGTGCTGAAATACCTTATTCTAACCCAAATAACTATATTTGGATAGCCATATCCTAAATCCATTTTTTTTTTACCTGCTGGTGCTCATCCCCTCTGAGTGTTCCTTAGGACACCAAGCTAGGATGGCATAAGCCTGTGTTCACTAAGATTTCCATTAAACATCAGTTCCCCAAATTCTCCAGTTAAAGAACACAGAAAGGAGGAATAGATTTAAATGACTACATCTTCAGATTCTTTATCTTATTAACTGAATTCCTTTAGTGCTATCTTGATTTTGGGAGTTTGTTTTTAGCTTATATTGAACATGCTAGTTGAGTGATAGTTATTTTCTGGTAATACTGGCTTAATGATATCTAGTTTAAATTTTTATTTTTAAGACCGAGTGAATTATCCACTAATCTAGTCAGTGCAAAGACTACTATATTTTCAAAGGACTACAACTAGTGGACAAATGACTTACATCAAGCCAAACAATTATTTTGATTCATTTTAATCTCCTGGACTTATTTTATGAGTGTTATTTTAGTGACAGTTAAATGTGGTTCCTTTGACAGATGGATTTATTTTAATTCTATTACTATTAAGCAGGTTGAAGTTTTTTGAACTGGCTCGTGAACAAGTTTCATGATGTATCTGGGTATAATTTCATTTTGAATGAAAATGTTTTCTTGTTTTATTTCTCATTGATCAAACTTTCCATTTCATCATTGTCTTTAGAAAGTGGCCAAGTGAGAGACAATAACAAATGTTTCTATTTAGAACCATAAATTTTACACTGGCTGTAAATCATATTTAAATTTGCTTATATGAAAGCAGAAAATCAGTAGAACTAATAAAACTCTTCTTGTTCTTTCTCTTCATCAGATAAGTTAATTTTTGTGAACCTACTATGTGAAGAGCCCTGATCAAAATTCCATGTTAATTTTGCAGGTGATGGAAGTCAAAGGACAAATGATCCATGTCCCAGAATCAAATTCCATTTTATTCTTGGGCTCTCCATGTGTGGACAAGTTGGATGAACTCATGGGCCGAGGGCTGCATCTCTCGGACATCCCTATCCATGATGCCACCCGAGATGTCATTTTGGTTGGTGAGCAAGCAAAGGCCCAAGATGGCTTGAAGAAGAGAATGGATAAATTGAAGGCAACTTTAGAAAGAACTCACCAGGCCCTGGAAGAAGAGAAAAAGAAAACAGTGGATCTTCTATATTCTATCTTCCCTGGCGACGTAGCCCAGCAATTGTGGCAAGGGCAGCAAGTGCAGGCCAGAAAGTTTGACGATGTCACTATGCTCTTTTCAGACATTGTTGGCTTCACAGCCATATGTGCCCAGTGTACTCCCATGCAAGTGATCAGCATGCTGAATGAACTGTACACCAGATTTGACCACCAGTGTGGATTTTTGGATATTTATAAGGTAATGGGGTTTAGTTACTTATATATAAATACTTTTTTTTTTAATTTTTATTTTTTTTGGATGTACATCATATTTCAAATTCTGTGTACATTACATCATGTTCACCACCCGAACACTAATTATAGTGTATCCCCTCACTTGTGAACCTAATCACCCCTTTTGCCCTCCCCGCTCCCCGCTTCCCCAATGGTAACCACCAGTCCAATCTCCAATGCTATGTGTTTTTTTGTCGTTTTTATCTTCTACGTATGAGTGAGATCATATGGTATTTGACTACTTTTTAATGGTAAATTGTCATCTAAATTAAATTGGAAACATACAATTTTCTTTTTCCTATTTAAACTTGATATTAAATGATGGATATCTCTTTCATTTGGAAATATTTATACAGAATACAAGTATTTCTGCTTTCTGAGTAAACTTTCATTATGAGTCAATTTATGCTATTGACATAGGTAACTGAATCATGATATTGCTCAGTAAGGAAAGATTCTCTAGAGCTAGTCCTCTAAATTCATTACCATTAAAAAATTAAACTTGTTGATTTCTTAGAGAGCAGGATTCCAATATAAACTAAGAATTTTATGTTGGCAATTACAAGAAACAATTTATGTTAAAATATGCATTGAATTATCAGTTAAATCTTAGTTAATCAGAACTTTGCATTTCATTGTCAGTTGTCAGGTCTCTCTAATTCTGAAAGAATACATGTAAATATTCTAGCTATTGCCCAAATGACCAATGGTTTTTGGTGGAAGCATGTTCGTTTTCTAAGCTACACAATGGCAGAGCTTTGAAAATGGGTACCATTTGTCAGTCTGAGTTGGTGAACTCCTTATTAATTTCTTATTAAAATCATAGCAACATCTTGAGTGATTCAGCCCCATATCTACCTAATGAATAATTCTGTAACTTTACATAGAATTTCACATGGATTGTACAATGTCAGGGTGCATGGGTTTTTTATATGAAGAACAGCAGTTACTTTTAGTATAAATAAACAGCAGTGAGCTTTAGGTTTTTATTTTCTTCTTTACAATTCCATCTAGATCACTATTTCTCTTTATAGTGTGATCTGCACATAAGCAGATTCAGCAAGAGCCTGTCTGCTTCATAGTGTAGTTTGATGTTATGATCCAGAGAGTAAGTTTTCATTAAGGTGTATCTCCTTTAGAGAAAGATGTTTGCTAGTTCCATTATGTGTAATATTCAGCCAATGTTAAATATTTTAGTAAGTCCTTTCTGAGTGCTAAACATTCAGTCTGAAGTAGGTATGAGGGTTTTGCTTTGTTATACAAAATAAGAGTCCTTGTAAATTATATTTATCTTCCTTATAACTTACTGTTATATAATTTATGGTAGAGAGAGCCAAATGTCTGATCCTAAACCAAAGAGAGAGTACGATGAGTCTGTCACTGTTATACCCAGTGATTTTCAGAAGAAAGAGCAGATGGGCCTGAATTTGCCAGCACTTTCCTTCCTCCAGACTTTGACACTATTGCCCTAGTCTCTGCAAGCACCAATCTCCTCCTTCTAAACCACTGATTTGCTGTGTTAGCTTCCTCTAGCTAAAGCAGTCATATGTTATTTTTGGCCCTCAATTCATGCAACTAAATGAGAATGATAAATAGATAAACAGGTTCTCCTTTGCTAAAACATGGAAATTCCTGATTTAAATATAAGTGTCAGCTAGGTTTTAAGAAGAGAAGAAATGAGCTATCTTCTGAGGCTATGAAAACTATTTCAAGGTTTAAAAATATAGTTACATTTCACGGACTTCAATCAAGTCTCCCTTCTCTTGAGATAAGCTAAGACACCTCACAGAAAAAGAAAATCTGTGGGAATATCCTCTATGACCCTCAAATTGTCCTAAATGTTATTAAACTGGATAGTTTCATGTAGTCATAAATAATTATCAACAAGTTTTAAGTTACAAAATGGATCTCCTCTTTCTCCGATACTCACAGCCATGCTTTCCATCTTTCATATATATATTGAAAAATAAAACAATTCTCGTTCACAAATTCTCTTAAACTGAACTTGAAATTTTAGCAATAAATTACAAAGTAATATGATTCCAGAGCCAGGTGTTTTTAACATATCTTCAATGCCAGTATGTGTATGCATCTGGAATAGGTCTATCGGGCAACTTTGATGTTTACTCAGAGTTATAGGGGTTGAGTTTGGAGGATCCAGACTAGGAATTGCAATATGTCCTGAAACCAGAGCGATGATGGTATGGCCAGAGAGAGGGAGAGACAAATAAAGGGACAATATTACTCTTGTGTAATCTTGTGTATCTTGTGTAGGATAAAATGAAGTATATTATGAGAAATATATCAGGAGGGATACAAATTAGAAATCTTCTGTCTGACCTGCCTAATTTAAGATTTCTAATCGCTGTCATCATTCCACCTTATTTTCTAGAAAATTTACACAGTGCTATTTTATACCATGAAATATTTGCTAAATTTGTAATTGCTATTGAGAAAGAAATCTCAAAAGTGATAGAATTTTTTTAAGGACCATAACTCTGCTGATTTTCTAAAATGAAAAAGAGTTTTGCTGGATTTAAAGTATGTATAGAATTTTCTGTGGAATAATCATACCACAGAGAAAAATAAGATATAGTCCACTTTTGTTTTATATTAGAAATGTGAAAAGAAACCAGGTAAAGCTGAATGCCAAGGAAGAAAACAACTAGGGAACTAGAAGGAGTGCCCCATAGGGGACATTCAAAGGCTGCTACTCCACAGTAAGGCTCCAATCTCTAAGTTTATAGTTGTCCCTCTTTTGGTCTTCTTATTATTCCATGTTTTCCTGTCATTAAGGAGATGGATGCAGTGACAAAATATACTTCCAGTGGTAGAATTCAGCTAAATTTGATCATAATAAGAAAGTTCTGCTAAAATAATCAAACCTTCTATAATGTAGTAGGTTTAGGAAGAAGCTATAGATTTTACTGTGCATATTTCAAGCATTGAGAGAATTAAAGCCTTTATATTGCTTGACTGCCAGGATGTTACATGTGTATGAATACTAAGTAAGAGCTAGGTAAGTCGAAGGAAGCATTGATTATAATTTTGATCCTCTTATACTTAGAAAAGCAAATATTCAGTAAAAAATCAACATAAATAGTGCACTACATACTATTTTGCTCCTTAGGTTTTATAGGGTATAGAGAACGAACAAAATAAAGAACCGGTAACTCTAACTTTTTAAATCAATGACATACGATAATAATAAATAATAATTAATAATAATAACAGCATTGACTGTTGAAGCAACCTAATGTAGGTTTTGCCTCATTTATATTTTTGTCTTTGCCAGGCCTTTAGCTTGAAATAAGGGAGAAGCAAGGAGAATGATGAGTCTTTCTCCACGCTTTTCTCATTGCATTAAGCCAAGGCTACAGTACCCCAGTGCTAACTTAAATACACTCCATAGAGCTCTCATCTTTTCACCTTTAATTGCTTTCTTAACTTCACTTTCTTCCAGTTCTATGACCTGTAAAGCTAAGATACTAGATGTATCTACCTCATGGTTATATCGTGAGCATTTCAATGAGCTGATATATACAACGTGCTTAGAACAGCACCTGATGTATAGTAGTAAATGTACATGTTAGTTGTCATTATTGTTTCTCAGACAAGTGTATCTGGACATATGGGGTTATGTATCATGTGATTAATTTTTATGTTTTGTATGTACATAGCTATAGTGCACCCGGTGCTTTTTAGAAAAGAATAAAATATGATCTCATTTAATCTCCCATGATTAACATGTGGAATTGCTATATTATCTCCATTTTCTGATAAACTTCTTTCAGAAAGGTTAAATAATCCAGATAATATAGCTAATAAGTCAAAATTCGAACAGAGACTCATCTGATTCTAAAGCCTACAATTTTTCAACAAGTCTAGGCTTGGACTAGACAAAGATTAAGTAATAAAAACAAGAAGTGGAAACTTTATCAAAACTATGTTACATGATCAATAACTATAGTTATACTATCAAATTATGAAAAAACCTCTATGAACACCTTATCCAAATATACCCCCGTCCCTTCCAGTTGCAAACAGTTCAGAGTTCTGAGAAGCTGAATCATCAAAAGTTGGGGACTCTCCATCTGCCACCCTCCCTTTTTGTCAGAAACTAGCTAGCATCTTCTCCCTTATCCCTCTTATGGAGAAGTAGCACACTAAGAAGGGGACATTGGGTCAATGATCCCAAGTGCAGGCAATAAGGGGTATAATTTAAAAATAATTAAACTGAGTAAGAGTTGATGTTTTTTAAATCACCTTGCCCAGGCAACTCAAAAAAATATTAGTAATAAAATACTTTTCTCTGTCAGGTGGGGGGTAGTGGAATATTCCCATCACAAACCCTAAACTTGGTTTGCAACTGTTGGTTGAGTTAAACACTGAGTATCGGTGTCAGGCTTGGGTTGGGAGAAGGGATAGAAAGACAAGATAGGGCAGTCAAGAAACACCAGGACCAGAATTCTGTTAAATCAGGGAATCTGATGTTGAGAATCTGAAAAACAACAACATAAGGTTCATGTTAGCAAGGGAATTCAGGAATTCTAAGTCCAGGTGGAAAAGCTGAGTCCAGCAGAGTAGTAAGGGAGAGAAATCCAGGTTCACTCTTAGGGGACACAAGACCTTGGGACTGGGCACAAGGGGACTGGTTTACAGGAACTGGAAACCAGGCAGGAAGTATAAAGACTGTCATCAGAACAAACTGTGATACAGAACCAGAGCCATTTCCCTGGCTAGGACCAGACTTAGAGCCAGAGTAAGCCTAGGTCCCCCTCTATAGAGTCAAAAGGGAACCAAATATGGCCACTGCATCAAAGGATACATAGATGTCCGCTGAGCTTTTAAATGCTAAAACAGGAGTTAGATCCACAGAGATGCTGGAGTTAGCAGGTTCGTTCTATCCATTCTTGAAAGTGAATAGAATACATTTGCGGACACTCTGGGCATTAATACAATTTC